AAGCCAAGTACTCCTTTCTATCCAAGTAGAGGATTGCGACAAGGATGCCCACTATCACCCTACCTCTTTATTTTGTGTATGGAAATGTTGTCTACGCTTTTCAAATCTAAGTTTCAGCAAAGGGAGATTCATGGCTTCAACTTCACCAAAAACGGCATCCATATTTCTCACTTAATGTATGCAGATGATCTTCTTCTCTAGGAGATGCAGCTATACTAAGGCAACTCGCATTCTTGAAGGGTTGCAAATGTTCTGTAATTGGTCTAGTCAAGAGGTTAACTTTAACAAATCATCCATTTTCTTCAGCACCAACACTCACAGAAGAATACAACTCCGCATAGCTAGCATATTTGGTGTTTCCTTCATGAAATGAGGGGATAAATATTTGGGTGAACCTCTCTTCTTATGAAGAGCTAAGACTGTAGAATGGAATTATTTGGTAGATCGGCTAAAATTGAAGTTGTCAACTAAGGAATACTCTCTCTCATGTCGGAAGAAGTGTGCTCATCACTACTACTCTTCAAGCATTACCCCAATATGTAATGCAAATGTATCTATTGCCAACATCAATTTGTAATGAGTTGAACCGTGTTTGCTGTAACTTATGGTGGTCGGACTCAAGCTCCAATTTCTTACATCTCCAAAACTGGTCATCTTTTATGTTACCAAAGGATTTTGGTGAGCTTGGCTTCTGTGATGCAAATTTGAAGAATGTGGCACTCATTATTAAGATAGGTTGATGTTTATTGAGCAACCCCAATGCTTTGTGGTCAAAGATTCTCCATGCTAAATATGTAAACTCAAATTTTTGGAAAATCAAAATTAATAGTGGTTCTTCTTATATCTGGAAGGGAATTCTGAAATGCCGATCTTACCTTCTCAAGGGATGTTGTTGGCTGGTGGTTGATGATTGGAACATTAACATCACTAATGATCCATGGTTACCTATTGGTGTTCAACCAAACTCTTCTCTGAACCAACACATGCCTCTAAAGGTGGCGCGCTTAGTTGACCATTCAACAATGACTTGGCGTTGTGATCTAGTGAACATTCTCTTTGACTCTACAGTATCCAACCAAAGTTTTAATGTTGCTCTCCCTGTCCCAAATGCAAAGATGTAAGACACTTTGATTTGGACTCTCACTCCGCATGGGAAATATACAACAGCCTCGGGGTATAAACTCCTATTATCCGAAAAACCATTACAATCCTCTACTCATCTCTTCGGCGACAAGATCTCGTGGCATTATTTCTAGAGTTTGAAATTCATTCCTCCTAAACCGCAAATTTTTATTTGGAGGATTATGCATGATGCTCGTCCTGTTAAAAGAAGACTGAAAGTGGCATTGAAACATATAACCATTTGTTGCTCTCTTTGTGATGATGAAGAAGAATCTCTTGAACACTTATTTCTCAAATGCCCTTTTGCTAAGCAAGTTTGGTTTGGTGTGGACATTTCTATCCGTTTTGACTTAAACTCAGAAAAGGAGTTTAGCAGATTGGATCACAACCTGGATAAAGCTTTTTAAATCAAGGTGCATCACTGATGTTGATTTACTAAAAATCATATCGCTTCTTTGGCATATTTGGCTTGCAAGGAATGCGCTAACTTTTAAGAACAAGCTCGAAGCCCCTCATTTTATTGCTCATCACACCACCAGTTTAGCTCATCATAACTTTTTGATCTTTTCCAGTTATCATGATAACTTGATGGATCATGCAAGCAACAGATTGGTGCAGCCAGTGCAATGGACAAAGCCCCCCAATGGATTTTTAAAATCAACTTTGATGGCGCTAATTCTTCTCAAAAGTCAGGTAAAGTAGGTTTTGTTGTGAGAGACCACATAGGTTCCTTCATTTTTGCGCAAGCTATTCCTATCATTCTCTCTCCTCCATTTGTTTCTGAAGCCACTGCTCTTTTGGAAAGTATCAAATTCGCCTTTTCCATGGGTTTCTCTCATACCATCTTTGAAGGTGATAATGAATCAATTAACAAGCTCTTGTTGGAGGAAAACTCTCATCCTCCTTGGAGTATCCTTACTCTCTTATCTAGTTGCAGGAGTCTCCTCAATCACCTTGATGGTTCCTCAATTACTTTTACTTCGAGATCTGGTAACCAGGTAACTCACCACTTAGCCAAATTTGCTCTTACTTGTCACTTTACTCAAACTTGATCCTCTATTCCTGAGTTTATTTTTTCTGTATTGATCAAAGATATAACTGAGATTGAAAGTTGAATGAAGTTGCCTAAGGACTTTCAAAAAAAAATATATCATAAACAAAATGGCTTCTTAAGAATCACGGGAGGGCCAAGTAATAGTTTGGGGTCCCTTGGCCCCCCAAACATTTGTTAAAACTATTAGTTAGAGACTAGCCAAAGGTTAACCATGTGATAAGCAATGTTTCAAAAATTAGCCCAAAGGCCAAACTGTTTTTGCATGTTGGTTGCAAGTCACTAGTTTGACCATCCGGGCCGAATAAGTCAAACTGTGCCATGTCAGCATACATACATATATATAGATATTATTTTGTGTTTATTTCTATTTTTTAATAGTTTTTAGTTTTTATTTGTAAAGAATGTTAAAATTTGCAACTTGAGGCCAATAAAAAGACCTTTTTTGCTGAAAATAGGGGGGCAAGGGGCATATAGATCTCAAAAAGGTACACACGATAAAAAAAAAAAAAAAAGATCACCCCAATTGGACATCCAAGCACAAAGTTGTGGCCTCTAAACTTTGCACATACATTGAGTGTGCAATCCATGACCCAATGACTGGTCAAATGAGTAAACGGTTCAACCACTCGGATCAGACCACGCCAATGGATTTTTATCAAATGGTAGATTTCATGCAAACTGGACCCAAAATCTTGACCAGATAATGATTTTGGTTCAATCAATCGGGTCAACGGCGAATTGAAAATACTAGTAATAAGGTGGGGTCCTTGCCCCCCCCCCAAACTTTTTTTCCTCTCCTAAAGGCCTCACCCCTTATTTCCTCACTTTTTCGTTTTCTCTTATTCTATGACTTCAATTATGCTCCAATCACTTTGCTTACAAACTAAGTATTATTCATCTTTCTATTACCTAATTTCTCGGTGCCTCTTATGACTTTTACATGTTTTAGTTTCTATTTTAATGTAACTTGAACACAAACCAGCAAGTCATTTCTTATTTTAGACTCTTATCATTGTCAAATATCATACTAGTGTCTAACCATCTTTCTCTCTACCTTACCTTTTTTTCTCCCCTAAGCCTTTTCTTTACCTATCTCCACCCCTCCATGACCCTCAAGAGAAAATTCCTGACTCGATCCACCTCTTTATAATCCATCATCAAAAGCCTCCTTAACGATGACAACGACAATGACGATAATGATGATAAGGTATATTATACCAATGATTTCCAAAAATATATTTTGAAATGAAATTACATTAACAATAGGGTGGGAATTTTAGCAAATGAATTTGCATCACAAATAAAGGGTTTAAACCCAATAGACTTTTGCAATAAAGATTAATTACATTTCTACATTGGCATGAAATTCACAGGATTTAGTTAGTTATCATATAAATAATCATAAGACGCTGTTTCAGTCTTTGTTTGAGATCATCTTTCACGACAAGTAGGTTAAATTACAAACTGCCACCCTCGACTTTTAGATTCTAACACTATAACCTAATCATTAGCATTTTGTGAGATAACTTTTCAAGAAAGATCTTCATATATATGACTGTCCAATGCCATATGCGTGTTTAAACATTTTCAAAACCCCAAATTTCCCTCATATCAACTTATGAGAACATTTTGTATAAAATTGATGAAATATAACAGAAAAAAGAATATAGAAAATGCAGGAAATACAATAAAAAAAGAAGAAAATACTAAAAACAGTAAATTAATATATATATATATATATATAACAAAGAAAAGAAAAATATAAAGCACAATGAAAAATAAAAAAAATACAACAAAAAAGAAATTGAGAAAATATGTAAAATTGCAAACAAAGAAAAAAACACATAAAAATACAAAAGAATACAGAACTTTGTATGAACATTTTTGTAGTTTTATCTTACTGTCAACCCCACTACCGGGTATGAGAGCAAAGTGATGGAATTTGAAAGTTCAAAGAGGATCTTTGTGGAAAATGAAAGTTTGGCCTAAAGTGTCACTATCCCAAATGTATTAATATATATATAATTGGGTCATTTATTCCATAGAGTTTCATAGATTTACTGAAATCTATCCCATAGATTGCATTTTACTAAAATATTCTCTATAGTTTGCAACTAATTTACTTAATTGACCTTTCATTAGATGGAAGTAAAAAATGACAGTTTTAACACTATCATCCGTTCAGATAAATTTAATCAAAAGAAAATAAAAATGAAAATATCATAATAAGACACGAGTAACTATTCTATTTTGTTCTATTTAGTTAATTTTGTTTTCTTTATGAAAATGTATTAGAGGTATTTTTGAAATAAAAAAGCATGGGCCTATGCCCATGAACGTTTTCCACTCATTTTAAGTGATCATGTTATTATTTTCAGATAGTAAGATAAATTAGTTTATAATAAAAAGTCGATTCAGTAAATAGGTTACAAACTATAGAGGTTTTTTTAGTAAAATGAAAACTTTTAAATATATCTATAAAACAATAGGGGTTTTGTAGTAAATGATATAATTTGTACAAAAAGCATGTTTGCGACTTTGCGTTTTGCAATATAGTTTGTATCCGCGTAACTTTCTAAAATAAATTACTTGTTTACCGAAAAAAAGAAAGAAAGGCGCGGTAGCCGGACCGGACCTGGACCAGCAGAATAATTCCCCGTGCTAAGCCACCAGGTCCTGGTGGGACCCATATGACCCTATTTCTGCTGACCGCTTTTTCATCTTCTTTGTTGCCACGTGGCAAATTATGGGTTCCGAACCAACCAGCCCTGCTGTCGTCGCTCGAAGTCGAAGGTGCTCCCAAGTCCCAAACAAAAGCCCCACGCATTTCAAATCCGAAGGACGGGACAGATAAGGAAGACAGCAAGAGGAGAGGAGAAGAAGGAAAGCAGAGCAGAAAGAAAAGGCAAAAAATGGCGCATCTGAGAACGGCAATGGATGCTGCTTTCTGGGACCTCAACATTTCGAGCCCTCAAACCCTAGACGGCTCAGCTCGGCACGTGCCTGGTGAGCCTTTGCCGCTTGAGGGGGCCAGAGCCAGTCGAGCACTGCGAGCTCAGCAGCTCTCACTACTGGGCAGTGGTTTCCCTCTTGGTATCATCCCTTCCTACTCCCCGACGTCTCAAAAGGAGCTTGGCTCCTTCTCTATTCAGTCGTTGTTGCTCAAACCCGCCTTTTCTAACGCGTAAGATTGAATGTTATCCCTTCTATTCTTTATTGTATTTACTTTCTTTTCTTCTAAAGGCGTCTGTAGCTTGGTACTTTATGCTATGCTATGAATTTTTTGTTTTTCGTCGTAATGTGCTAGAGAATGGTTTTGGAGTCGGACTGGGAATGGCGTGTTAATTTCTTTTTAACTATATAAAATTTCGATTTGGCTAATAGGTTATTTTCTTCCTGCTGTTCCTAAAATGCGTTGACAACATCTCTTGAAGTAAATAAACTATTATCTGAACGCAAGTTACTTTGATTATCTTTTTATTGAGAATTTTCGAGCTAAAATGCCATGTTTCACTTTTGGGATCGTATTGGAGCTAAAATGCCGCGTTTCACTTCTGTTTATGAATTGGAGATAGATTTTGGTTCCAGGTTGGATATAGCAACTTTTTTTCTTTTTTTTAAAAAAAAAAAGATGCAATTTCCCATGTTTAGGACTAAATTTTTTATGTTATTTCTGGATTCTTATTTGATAGCTTCTTCCAAGTTGTTGGAATGTTCTACAGTTTCTGGTCGAGAAGGCATTGGGTATGTCTTTCTTTAGAAAATTTCTGATGCTCTAGCGATTTTGAAGGGAACCTCCACATGGAAATACTTTCAGCACCTCGCATCCAAGTTGTTTACATAAACACATTTCCCTTATACAGACGTCAGAATCTTCAGCATTACATCCAGATGAATAAATATATTGCCCAAAACTTTATATTCTTTAAGAATAGGCAAATCATTCCTAAGACCGTCCTTAAACTTCACTACCTTTTCCGTCTTGAAAATTTTATTTTTGTGAAATATTATGGATGCAATTAGTAACACTTGCCATGGTTGAGACATCTGAAGTGCAATATCCCTTATTGGTATTTTAGGGTTTGATTTCCCCTTTCTTCAACCATACATCTCCTGCCAAAAATGAGATAAAAGATTAATTAAATTTTAAATTCCTAGTAGTCCTTTCTGGGTGTTTGGCTTTCCTATATTTTGGCTATGCATGCTTTGGTTTTCCTTCTATTTACCTGAAACCGAGTAGTATGTTACATGGTCTTTGTGTGGTGTAGGTGGTTGGGAATAATTGGGCAATTCCGTCCCAAGAAACTATTATCTTCTATTAAAGCAGAATTTACAGTTGATGATGTGCTAGATCTGCCTGCATTTAAAGATGTGGCTAAGCATTTCTTGGACAAGTCGCTCTATGCACTTGGTTTGTGTGCACAGATTTCTCTGACTCCAGCCTCATCCTTACTTCTCATGAAAGAATCCCATGGTGAAAGAAAGGGGCATCGCAATAAAGCAATGCTCTTTAACAAGGTAAGCTTTCCAGGCATCTTTCTTATATTTTTGTTCAATCTTTATGGTAGATATTGTACCAACATATTAGGTTGGTCATTCTGAAAGTAATGGGAAACTCTAGGCATCTTTTTCTCAGTTGTTATGTTAATGTTACATGCTGAACATTTGAGTGATCAATATATTAGACCATCTTGGCTGGACCAAGTCCTAACAGACCATGCTAATTGTGCAACCCTAGTTATCCAAAGCATTCAATTGGATTGTGCTATTCTAACCCATCAAATGATAAGCATATATTCTAAGTAGGACTCATCAAATGATGATCCTTGTTTTTTCTGGCTCCCCCTCATCGCTCCACGTGTAAAGTATGCTATATTACTAGTGAGATGGATTCTATGTATCTACCTATCTTTGGACAGATACATGTACACCTGTGTCACTCTTATCCTTAGGATAACAGGACTCCTGAACTCTTTCCTCATGACATTCCCATGCTGTATGCATGTTCGGGATTTGGTGGTCAACAATCAGTAAGTCCAATTTTTGGAGTTTTCCTTGGTCAAAATTCAAGTCAACCCCTATAAAATTATAGTAACAATCACATGCATCTCATACTCTTGGTTAGTTGAATAAAATGTGATGTATGTGCTTCTTTTACTTTTGCACACATAAGCATGATAGAGACGCATCAACTTTCATGTTTTCTGAGGTAATTTATCTAGCATAAAAAGTCCATAGCCCAATTTCAGTTCCAGCCATCTGGGATACTGGGAGCAATAGATGAATACAGACCTAACCTCTGGCATTTTCTTCACAGAATGGCCACTCCTAAACTTGAACCAACATTCTCATGTTTGTTGGCCCAAGATTTCTCAGGATTATAAGACCAAGTTCCCACGTCTAAATTGCAAATTTTCTGATTTTTATGAGAAAGTATTTTTTTTCAGCATTTTTTTCTTCATCTGTTGATATTGCTTGTGAATTCCATTCTCCTAAGTTCACTTCTCATGTCAATCCTGTTGGCTATGTTTCCTCAACATTTCTCACATTCTTCTTTGTGTTCTTTACTCCTTTATGACAAGAAATGTTTCTTATATATTTCAGCTTCCACATCATGATGTTACAGTAGAAGCAGCATGGCCTGAACTATTCATTGACCAGAATGGAAGATACTGGAGTGTGCCTGAGTCAATATCCTTAGATTTGTCATCCCTTGTTTCTGAATCTGGATTTAGATACCGTTTTGGTGTCCACAAAAGTAGTGGCCTTCCCCAGGCTTTTAATGCCACAAGTGGTGAACCACCCTTAGCTCTGATGCCTGGCTTGTGTGCAACAGCTGCTTTTTCTTATGAGAAGAGCAGAGACATCTGGAGGCAAAAGGAGACGAAAAAGGATGTCATTATAAAAACTGAGAAGGGCGAGTATTGGTGGCCTTCATATGATGTACGACTAAGAGAACCCCATGCAGCTATATCTGGAATTATTGGTAATATTGCTTCTATTTACTTTTTTCTGAAATTATTTTGTCAAGTCATTCTAGTACTATTCCAATTTTTTTCATAGTAAAATTGGAAATTTCAGTATAGAGTTATTCCCTTCTCCTCCTTTTGCTTTTTACTTTCTATTTTTGTCAAAGTTTATGCCAGATGTCAGTGTTATGGTAATGGAAGTCTGTTCTATCCAGTTGTTTCTCGTCAGGCTTCATTTTATAGTGATGGATAACTGTCATGTTTAGAATGTTTGTTTGTCTTGAATATTTTGCATGGTTAAATTAATGTAGAAGTCACATTCCAGGGTCAATATACTGAAAACATTTGATTTATTGTTTGAAGTTTTGTTGTTGGTTTAGCCTTGAACTCTTGTTAATGGGACACCATTTTAAGTGATTCAGATTGTTATAGAAATGATGTCTATTGTGTTCAGTAGTTTTTTTGTCTGACATGTTATTCATGGTAATGGACTTCTGCTATTTTCAGAAGGAGTGGATTATCTTGAACCATTTAGTATGCTAGGGTGAATGCAGAAGTCATTTTCCTGGGTCAGTTTACTTAAAACATTTAATTTATTGTTTAAGGTTATATTTTTGGAGTAAGCCCTGAGTTCTTGCGAATGGAGCATTGTCATTAGAGATTTGGACTAGCTCCTGAAATTTTCTCTTTGTACAATTGCCCACAGAATGCTATATGCATGATGTTACAAAATGTTCTTGAATACTTGAGTTTAACATGTTAATAATAATAAAACCTTGAGTTTAACATATACTTGATGGACCTAATCCTTTTTCTTTTCTTTTCTTTTCTTTTCTTTTCTTTTTTTTTCTCTTTCATTGACTATCAGTTTGAGTTTGAAGGTAACTTTATTTCTAAGTATTGTTATGTTAATTTATTTCCTCTGATGTGATTCAAGTTGGCATTGCTGTAAGAAGATTGTAAAGATTCATGAATTTCAGCGAAGTTTTAGAATTATCTAAATAATGTATGCCAGCCTTTATTTGTGACCACTATTGATACATCAAACTGTAAACAATTCAAACAAATATTTCAGTGCTGCAATGTCAACATGTCAGGTTTAGCATGGGTCCATCTTGACCTGACCCTGACCCAAAACTTAAGGTTGCCCCAACCCTAACCCAGTAGGGTCAGTTAAGTGCAGGTTTACCAATTAAGCTGACTCACTAGCATCCCTATCTATACTCAACCAATCCTATATAGACAAATATTCCAATGCTGCAATGTCAATGGATTGGGTTTAACATGGGTTCAACCCAAACCTACCCCAAATAAGGCTGCCAAACCATAACACAATAGGGTAAAGTCAATGCAGGTTTACCACTTAACCCGTGTTATGGACGCATTCCTCGGGAAGACGTACCGTCGCCACCGGTAGCAACAGGCACCTAACCCACCGCCAGCAGCAGCAGTGATTCAATGATTCTCATCCTACCCAGTTCGGCAACAGCAGCCTTATCTAGATTAGATTAGATCATCTTGCTTGTTCTTATCTTATTCT